GCTCGGGCAACATGCTAAATACAGTCTGGGCCATGGGAAGAGAATCACAAGTAAGACAGCCCAAGTGCAGGGGCAAAGTAAAAAAAAAAACAAGGAACATTTATTATATACATTGCTCGCATTTGACCTTTGCTGGATACAGATAGTATTTCAATGGACTACACGGGTGATATCTGTGGACTTGTTTATATCAACCCTCAAGTAATTTATAACAAACGTAAGCGAAGGTGTCTAGCTCGTTATTAGTCCTTTAAGCCCTAAAATTGAGATTTTACTTCAATCGAATTGTCGTGAAACTAAAATACCAGAACCTTTTCTCACGCAGACTGTCGCCCTTCAAGGGTTCAACATTTTGTGCTACTAGTGCTGCAACTACCACTTGACAGACGTTCAAATGCTTGCTTTTACTCCTGTTTTTCTCTGTTGTCAGAAAGTTCAGCTGCAGGGAGTTTGTAGGCTGAGGAAGCTTTTGGAGACCTGCAGCAGTGTCTCTTTTAATTAAAAATGACAATTCAGACTAAAACGGTGTATTTTCCGAACACCCAAGCTGGAATAAAAATGTCAGGAAAAAGTATAAACATTCCAAATTATGGCATTATTGCTGTGCATATTTTGGGCAGTTCAATACATATCATACAGACAACTGCGGGCAATTCGGCCGTTTTTGCTGCTACCATACAAACTAATTTCCAGTAATTGTGCATCTTCTAAGAAATATGCCTGCGTACGTGTATAAACTATACAATTGATTTACGAAGAAGCTACACTTATGTAAAACAACCCTGTTCCACGAGCACTTCAAAGATAATCAGACACAGGGCCTTTAAAACATCCGCGAACCAGCGTATGCAAAGTGGCAGCGCAGAGTCGGGATCGCGAGCTAATTTGCCGACCACCCAAAGGCCCATGATATAAATGCCACTTCAAATGCCTTGAAAGCGGGATGTAATATCGTCCTAAATCATGAACATGCAAGGGACAAAATTCCAGCGTCTGAAGCACTTGCGCCACCGCTCCAGCGATCCTTCGCAAAATTGCCTTGAGTCGTGTGGACGGGCGGGGAGGTTCATCGGCGGAATTGCCTCCGCCCATAGCTTTCGGGATTTGTAACCCAATTTTAAAGATAAAGGGGACAAGCAGGCTTATAAAATGTAAGGAAGCACGTCAATATCGGCCTAACTCAACGTCTTGTACACCGGGTAAACCAAGTCCAGCTCCTCGAAGAGCTTGCGGCACACAACGCCAAACCAGGAAACCGGCGCTGGGAAGCGAGCCGATGCGAGATCGCGGAGCGGAGTCCCCTCCCTGACGTCACGGTACGCCTCACCCAATCAGGGCGCGGCGACTGCAGCGACGCTTGTGTTCGCTCTCGGGGCTAGAGGTTTCTCCTCGCCCGCCGGATGGATGGATGAATCCGGCTGAGCCCTTTGGATCGGGCGGTAGCTTACGCCACCTAGCCATTTTGTTTTACCATTTAAGCTTAGAATATTTAAATGTGAAATCCAGTGTGTCGAACCGAAAAAAATACGGGTTCGGTTACGGTTCAGGTAAATTTATTTTGTTCCGGTTCAGTTCCGGTTCGATTAATTCGATCCGCGAACCGGTTCGCGAACCGGTTCGGAAATTATAAATGGCAAATTGCAGCATCAAAATAAATTACAAATAAAAATCTGAAATCAGCACATACGAAACGGGATACATCGTAGTGTAAGGCTCAGGGATTTCTACCAGGAATGGTTTCTTTATTACCTCACCGACGTTTACGCATTCGGACTTCATCTAATTGGGTCCGACGCAGTAGCTGTAAAATCCGCGACCTCCTTACAAACCCACTTACAAGTAGAACTCGCTAACTATCACCTTCGGTAACTCAAATTAGACCCTTAAAGAAGTTTTCATTAAACAAGATACGGAATATGAAAAACACTTCACCGAACGCAACGCCAGAAGGACGTAATAGGATAAATATTAAAATAGAAGAGTTCGCTGTCTCACAAATATGTTAGCTTCTAAGTGCCTATACGAAACCGGATGCATTATTATCAAACTCCACAGCCTTTTCTTTTCTCATTCCGATGGAAGCAAGCTTCCAAGAACTCGCGCGTTCTAGAAACGTGTTATGAAATGAGCACACAGCAGCATTTAGGATTTACGAGATTGTAGGAAAATAAAATCCCGTGACGCGATTTTTTTTTTTTTTTTTTGCAGAGCTTTTTAATTTTTTTTTCTTCCGTGCAAGCCGCGACCAGCGCAATACTGGTTCCTATGTCAAGATTCATGGATGCAGCGTTTGTCAAGATTCATGGATGCAGCCTTTATATTCCTAAGACTGAGTGGAGAAGAAAAATATGTAAGCGAGGTGTGTGTCAGTTGACGGCACTTAAAAAAACAAATGGCATTGATAGCACATTCATTGTCAACAGCGCGTGGCCGAACCGTTTTGACATGAGCCGGTAACCGTTATTTTTTTTTCCGGTTCAGTTCCGGTTCGGGTTCATCGCGATAACAATATAACGGTTCGGGTTCGGGTTCAGTTCCGGAAAAAATACCGGTTCGGTTCCGGTTTTCGGTTCGGTTCCGGTTCGACACCCTGGTGAAATCTATATTCACTCCGCACTGCAAAGAAAGTGACGCCGATGGATGGATGGATGGATGAATACGGCTGAGCCCTTTGGATCGGGCGGTAGCTTACGCCACCTAGCCATTTTGTTTTACCATTTAAGCTGCAGCGCCGATGGATGGATGGATGAATACGGCTGAGCCCTTTGGATCGGGCGGTAGCTGGATCGCCTGCAGCGCCCCATGGCGCTGCAGGCGCCATGGGGCGCCTGCAGCGCCATCCAGTGGCCAGGAGAGAAAACGACACGTCGAGAGCCGGATTCGGGATCCCAATCAACCCCGCGGCGACACGACCATGCGATCGTCTCTGAGGCGAGGCAACTGCATAGCCGCCTCGCGGCAATGATGCCAGAATGGTTTGGTGGGCGCCCTCGTGAATGCACGGTGCGCCATAAACTCCATGATAACAAAAATCGGAAAGTGAATGACAAATATACTGCTTAAAAACAATTCAGCCAAACTGGTTAAGCGTACCCCCAAGCCTACTTCCACTGTTTCAACTGATTTATTTTCAATTTATTTTACTGACTGTACCTCAAACACGTAATACCCATATTAAGATGGTCACTAAACAAGATTGTTCAAATTAAGAATAAACCTATAGAGCAGTTCATATAAAGCATATTAAGATGGTAACTAAACAAGATTGTTCAAATTAAGAATAAACCTATAGAGCTGTTCATATAAAGCTTCTTGCAAGCACCCTCGCTAACCATAGAAGTTGAAAAAAAATATCGCCAGAGCATCGTAGTCTATCATCAATAATAGCTGTAGTTTTATTTTGAAATTTTTACTGAAAAGTAGAATTGTTACAATAGCACTCACCAAGTTCTCTCTCTTTTTTTTTTCTCTTTATTTTTTTTACTATATACCCGTCGCTTGCAAGTTTAACATATCCCGCTTTTGGGTGAGAGTTTTTCTCTTAGCACGCGGGCGCACTGCGGCTAAGCAAGATAAGAAAAATCGCGACGGTTACTTCGCGATTGTTTCACTGCAGTACACAGAAGAGCGGTGAGAAGCGCACTCAACAAAATTACTTACCCGCCAGGGCAGGCAGCGGACATGACTCGATATTGCGAAACTTCCGAGTACTGCCAGTGTTTGAGAGAGATATCAAGGCAAATACTATTTTGTGGCAATATTCGAAAGTTCTAAAAATTTTGCACAAGCCTACCATGACGATCCGGACATGTAGAGGGGGCCTCAGCTATCATCTACTCGGCATTCATAAAGTGAAATCTCGGCACAACGTTGACACAGAGTCTCCACATTTTGGCTAAACGTAGCAGGGTAAGCCCTTTGGCGCAGTTTGGCACTAACGCTGCAGCAATTATCCATGTAAACACATCGATCGGAGACGCGTTCCAGGGACCTAGCTCTACGGAGAGAAACCGAAACCAGTCGGGGCGTCGCCGCGGCCCGACTGGAAGAACGATGACGACTGTACCACTGAGACCGCGACCGCACACCAGAGAACGCACCAGAAAACGCAGCAGCGGCGAACGTTGCCGGCGCCGATCCCGAAACCGAAACTATGTAGATTCTGAAACCGCAACTATGTCAGTACCTGGTAATGGCGCGTTCGTGAGAACTATGTATTTACCGAGATCCGATCACGTGAGGAGAAGACTCAAATGCCGCGCTGGGAAGTAGACGTAGCACGCGCCCCGGCGTAAGTTTCCCTGCTTTTGAGCGCGCCGCCGCTATTCGCCGAATTCAGTCACGCGAGGAGCAGACTCGGCATGCCGTGGAGGAAAGCTGGCGCTACGAGGATGAACGCGCAACTCGGGCTCCCGTAACTAGGTATACCTAAGTAGGGTGACCAGACGTCCCGTTTTGGCCAAAACAGTCTCGCTTTTGAGGTCCACTTCTGCCGTCCCGTCTTTTTGTCTCAGTATAGAATCGTGTTCCGTTTTCTCAGGAGTACATAGTTTCGAAATTGGCACCAAGCGAGTAGAAGCAAACCGAAACTATGCCGATTCGTTACAAGTATATTTTACAAAAATAACCGTAGGTACTTTAAAATATTTACCCAGAAAGTAAAATTTAGAACTGTTCTTACCCACAAATCCCTTTTTTCTCGCGAAGACGCGTGTGTAGAAATATCTTTTTTTTTTAAGTTACTGGATATAGCACAAATGTAGAATCATGCAGATACAGCACGCATGTAGAATTTCATTAAATTTTTCTCCCAATCTCAAATTTTAGTACCCCCCCCCCCCCTTTTTTTTTTTTTTTTTTTCTCTGGGATGTCCCGTTTTTTACCTTGAGGAATATGGTCACCCTATACCCAAGGTACACCAACACTGCACCCCTTGTAGTTTCGGCCACTTTAAAAACAGAGGAAGCAGGCAGATGTGCTTCGAACAATGCTTACTTACCGTTGATGCGTACCGAAACGTGAGCGTCTTGAAGGAGTCTGATCCTGAGTCGCGTCTTTTTGTAAACTATGGCGCACTCTCGAAACCAAAGCAACCCCCGCAATCTTCGTACACCTCCAGACGGCAGCGCCAAATCTCCCCTAGCGGGTTTACGTTTCTACGGAAACAAGCAATAAACAAAATAAGTACGTGCGCCGTCGTCATGGCTATGGTGCCTGGATCGCGTCTTTGACTGGTGTGTTTAGCGTCCTATCCCGCCCATACATCAAAAGTGGTCCCAAGGTGGCAACAAATGACGCGAATGTCATGCTGTTGCCTGTCGCGATCCTGGCGGTTGGCCGTAGAAATGCTGGCGAAAAGCACGAGCGAACGCGAGTGTCGCTGTCGTCACAAAGTCCCTTTAGGCGTCCCAACTCCGGCTGCTCTCACTTCCGCGAACTGTCACAGTGGAAAGCGACCTGCAGCAGAACAGGCATCTGCCACATACACCACAGCTGTTGGAACGCCGCCAGGGTCGCGACCGGCGACAGCATGACACTTTTATGACGTCATCAGGCGGAAATCGAGGGACCACTTTTTTGGCCGCGGTAAACACACCAGTCGGAGACGCGTTCCAGGCACCATAGTCATGGCAAACGGGCGTGATAAGCGTTATCCCGATTCCTGATTGGTGTAAGGCCGCTGTACAGATACCATGTATGTGGCTGCTGCGCCGGTGGGTTTGTGTTATTTTCTTATTTGCTTTCGCTCGCGACGCCGTCGTATTCGGAGCGAAATCGTCTCTCGGTTTCTTCCTAGTATCCGTATCTGCTGAGGTCGCGGAACACAGCCACACGTGGTCAACCACAAGCGTGGTCTGGTTGACCAGGTGTTGACAGCTGCGGTCATCATTTGGTAACAACCGCGTGATGTCACAGGGTCTGAGCTTCGTTCGACAGAGGGCGCTATGGGACTTCAATTGCGACGCTCAGGGCGTCTCACGTGTGAGACGCCCTGAGCGCCGCAATATCACAGGGTTCGAGCTGTGTCCGAAAGAGGCGCTCACGTGATGTCACACAGGGTTCGTGCTGTATCCAACAGAGGGCGCTCGCTGCGGTCACATAGTGGTCATGTTACAATAATTGAATCGCTGCGCGGTAAATGCATTTAATCGCTAATAAAGGCTCCACGGCCAGCTGGGAATCGACCTCGCTACCTTCTGCTCAGAAGTCCAACACTCTACCGTCTGAGCTACGAGCACAATGCTTCCTGGACGACTTAAATCGTCCTAGTATTTCGTACGTCGAGCGCGCAATTCAGATCACGTGTTAGAGCTGTCGCAACGCTTGGATTTTGTAACGGAATTGCTGAGTCATTCACCGGAGGGCTCTACAGGGATGACGGAATAGTTCAGGATTATTGAGTCATCTGTCAGGCGGCAAAATGCACTGCCACGATGACGACACAGATATATCGCCGAGTGACGAGAAATGCATTGTCGCGTGTTTTCCCGGTGGGTCATGTGACCAACGTCACCTGATATTTGAATCGCTGCGCAGTTGACACCTCGGTTCATAGATGGCGCGTGTCTTTCGTTGCTAATAGAGTTCCTGTATAGGCTCCCTACGGGAGCCAGAGTTGCGCATTTGTTTTCCCCGCGCCGCCACGCCGCTATTCGCCGAGATCCATCACGTGAGGAGCAAAGCATCCGGTGGCGTGCAAGAAAGCCACCTTTACGGTCGCTCCGCCGACGTTTCTCGCGCCCCGGCGTATGTTTCCCTGCTTTCCGCCTCCTTTTCCTCCTTTCCTGTTTTCCATGCGCGGCGGCGCCCGCGGCGCCGCTATTCGCCAAATTTAGTCACGTGAGGAGCAAAGCATCCAGCTCGTGCGGAAAAGCCGGCGCTACGGCCACGCGCCGAGGCTGAATGCGCAACTCTGCTACCCTAGGTAGCATATACAGGAACTCTAGTTGCTAATAGAGTTAGCCAGAGTTGCGCATTTGTTTTCCCCGCGCCGCCACGCCGCTATTCGCCGAGATCCATCACGTGAGGAGCAAAGCATCCGGTGGCGTGCAAGAAAGCCACCTTTACGGTCGCTCCGCCGACGTTTCTTGCGCCCCGGCGTATGTTTCCCTGCTTTCCGCCTCCTTTTCCTCCTCTCCTGTTTTCCATGCGCGGCGGCGCGCGCGGCACCGCTATTCGCCAAATTGATAGCATCCTCGATCATCCGCACCGGTGCGCATCGGAGCACTGAGGTGCGCCCCTTCATCTTCGATCAAGTGCACCGGTGCGCACCGTACGTCCTCGATCAACGAAGCGCACCCTCCCGGTGCGGCTTTTCGTTGCCCCAACGTGCACCAAGAAAATTGGCGGTGCGCCGGGGGGCAGTCCCATCAGGCATTGCGGCCAGGAGCGGGAATCGAGAAGATGGCGGGAGTAGCAGACGCGCAGATTATCGAGATGGCGATCTTGCAAAAACGAACACGCCTCGCAGCTGCACTAGATGATTTCCTCGGGTCTTCTGACGGCGAGACGACGAGCTTCCCACCATCGCCGCGATTACTGGCGATTGCTGCGGTGGCAAGGAGCGCCCGAAAAGCACGAACTTCGTGGAAAGCGGTGCGAGGCGTTTCGATGACAACGAGGTACGGCTATTATCTGGTGTTTCGTTCTCTTGAACTAATAATGATGGCCAACATATACATGTGGAATTGTCACCCGCTTCGTGATCCCATCGACAATCACGCCCACGATGTTTATTTCTGTGGGACCGTCAAATCCGCGAGTAAAAAAATAAAAGAAATTGACAGCAGACGGGCACCGTGCGCTTACCTACACACTTAAAATTTTTACACCCTTATGCGTGTAAATGGCTCGTCCTCTGGCTAACGCCTTTATTCGTGTAAGGGTGTTAGCCGCCGGAGGTGGTGAAAATCGTGTTAACTGCTAACACCCTAAAAACAATATGGCGGCCAGTATGCGACAGGCGATACGAGCCTGGCGAGCCGTACGCGGCTTCTCGCCGGAGCAAGAGCATACGACTCGCACGCTCGTTTGTTGTCATCTGTAGGCGCAAAAAACTTTCCAAACATCTCTATGTCCAAGCGCCAACACCGCAAATAATACGAGTAAGGCCGAAACCGCTGGAGACTGAACAGCCGAGACTGTCGCCGAAGTCTCGCTCGGCCTGCTCAATGCCGGTCGCATTTTCATCGCATCAGAAGCGCTTATAAAGAAGGGATAGCTTTACAAAACACTGACAGGCTGGCTTTATTGATCAAAACACCCACTTGCCGTGGACAAGTTGACAACAAATCGCTCCGACACCCTCTGTCGACAGCGGCTAGGAGGTATCGCACTCGCGCTCCGTGTGGCTCTCGATTAACTATTGCCTGTGTGCTCACCTCTGTTACGTGCGTTATCCACTCATGAACGTTCGTGCGTGAACAGCGGCATTCAGCACCTAGAACACGCGCTGGGGAAGCCGCCTAACCTCCTTTTGTTGCAATCAGGCAGCATAACACGGCGACACAGCTGCCAGCGGAACCGAACAACTCGGAGCGATCAACACGACGGATGGACTAATGACATCCAGCCCTCTAATAGTTATAGATCACCAACCGCCACACTTTTCAAATTGGGCGGCGACAACCCCCATCTAGCGACGAAAACAAAAAGTGATAAACATTTGAAAAAAGAAAACCGCAGTTTTTTTGCTGCCCACCGCGCGGTTACATTCACTCACGACATCCACATACACACAACACTGTACATACACACGCGCATACAAGCACTGGTCTATAGCACAACACACAACAAATAGTACATACAACCTACTTTTTTTTTTTTTTTTTCTTTATTGCCGTTTTTACAAGTCACTCACTGCGTACATGTCTGAGGTAGTAAAACAGCAGAAATGACAGTGTTACTTTCTACCAGCCGGCCTTTGGGCTAGTAGAATAAATTAAAATGATTTCAAATGCCTAACGGTTTCCGCACATTGAATCCAATCTGGCACGCAGCTCTGTGCCTTGTGTACTTCTACAATCAAGGCAAGACTCTCGCCGAAATATTCCCGAGCCTCACGCGCGTCGATATCGGCATGGCGCGTAGCCATCCGAGACCGCCAAATACTATGCAGGCCCAGTAACATAATCATATCAAAGGGCACGCCGTCCTCGTTTTCAACTGGAAGGTATCTAATTCCCTGCATGTCTAACGGAAAATCCTTCTTCAGGGTGCGTTGGAGGACATCCCAGAAGAAGACGCCATCCCAGCACTCCAGGAATACATGCTCGATTGTCTCGGGCTTTTTACACAAAAAACAGTGGTCGCCCCACGGGACGAATAGTCCCTTTTCTTTCATCCATGTCTTTACAGTTAAGGTGCCGGTGTGTAATTTGAAAAAGAATGACTTAACACCAGGCGGGACGAGCATTCTCTTAACGCGCTTTAAGACATCCTGTCCCGGGCCCGCACAATACAAGCTTCTATACAAAGGTACGGGAAAGAAAACGCCACATAGATCTCTATACAACTTTTTCCTGGATACTTGGCTCAAATACTCAAAAGAAAACCTGGCTGCCAAAAATTTACTTGAAAAGACAACTTCCTTGAGATATCCGTGGATGCCGCCTGGCACCCATGCCGAGGAAACGATAAACTCAGGCATATGTCTGCACAGTCTCACCTGGTAGACTGTTCGTAGAAACGGGTCACTGACATCCCGAAAGTAAATAAAACGATTCACAACTTGGCGCAAAAATAAATGTGACAATCCTAGTCCACCATCGCGGACGCGCCGAAAGAGGTTCATACGACTCGTCCGTTCAAATGACGAGCCCCAAATAAAAACAGCAAAGACGCGGTGAATTTTTTGAACATTAACTCGGGAGCAATGCAATACCTGTAGCACTTACCACAGTTTGCTAACAAGAAACAAATTGCACACTGTGGCACGGGCAAAAATAGACAATTCCCAACCTCTCCAGCCCTCCACTCTCTCGCGCAGTTCTAGCGCCCGCCTGCGCCAATAAGGCTCACTGTCGCTGTAATTCTCCAGAGGTACGCCCAAATAGTTCACAGGAGTTGTTGACCACCTTATATTTTGAAACACACTGGGAGTGGAAAACCAGCGACCATGCCAAAAACCCAAACACTTATCCC